AATTAACATTAATGTTAATCGATGCTTTAGAAGTATTGGGTATTGAACCTTCGTGCTGTATTTTCTGTTGGCAATTTGACATGCAGTTTTCATATGCTACACTTTGCCAACCCTGTTTTATGTAGGCCCACCCATTTAACCCTTGTAGGGTTTTCGGGTCTGTGGGACCCGTTTTTTATCAAAAGAAAAATTATACTATAAATTATTTTTTCAAGTTCAGACTCATTGGCTTTGGCTCATTTTCTGTGAAGAACATATATCAGAACAAATTATTTTATGTTTTATGAGAGACTGATGTTGAAGAAGGTTGAGTGAGGTTGAAGAACTCTGATCCAACTCCACTTCTTGTTCTTGTCATGATGAGCCATATAACATAGGAGTGTGTGGGAAGACCAAACAGCAAATTTATGCAGAGCATGCAAATTTTTAGATCGCCCACTATCCATATGGAAGGAGTTGTGTTGTAGCACTTTAATTCATAAATGTGATCTAACAAAGGTAAAGGGCAAATTTTGACCATACATGCAGTTTATATTGCTTGTAATGGGATGAAGTAAACATCTGTTGAGTATTTTTATATATAATTTTATATATTTTTTTATATATAAACCCAAAACTGCAGTGGGTCCACCAGACAGGGCCGTAGCTGGGGTTTGCGGGGCCCTAGTGCAGGATGTACCAGTGGGCACTGTTTGAAATTGTTTGATTTGTATGTTCGTTCTATTTATTTATTTGTGCTATTTACACAATGTTTAAGTTCTTTCAAGTTTGTTGGTGTCCAGGTACAGAAACCGAATAATCAAATATAAAATAGCACTGCATAGTCTTCACTGTAAAAATTAAATATACAGTCAAACCAAAATTTATTCAGACACCTTCAACATTTCTCACATTATCACAGTTTATTTGCTATAGTTTAGAAAATGGTAATAATATATGACAAGAACAAATTCACCTTGATAATGTCAGATAACTTCAACAGAAAGGTATGTAATGGATTACAATCAACCAAAAATTCAGACAACTGTTAGTATGACAATATTTACACAACTATCAATACTTTGTCGACCAATTACCAAGCAATGCTTAATTTTGTTCAGTCTGTGGTGTGAAAAGGTCGCATTAGCAATTAAAGAAAAAACACTTAAGCAAAACATGGTCAGGTCAAAGTGTCTGAATAATTTTTGGTCCCAATTTTTTTTTAATCAATTTTACTGGTAGTCCACTGTGTGAAGAATGTTTGGGTATAATATGTCACAGTTTACTTTATTTTGCTGTACTCACTTACATAATTGAACTATATTGTCCTGCACCCACTATAAAGAAATATAAAAAAAATGATATCTGGAGTCTGAATAATTTTTGGTTTGACTGTGGATTAATTCTTGTTAAAACTACAAAGTAATTCAGGTCACGTGACGAGAGTGATGCGAGACACTATGATCCAAAAGCGCACCTTTTGTTAATACAAGTTTAATTTCTTCGTTTAATATAAGCGAGTTTGTCTTTATTGTTGCTGTTTTCATTAAAAATAAATAAATAAATCAATCAATGAACCACAAACTAAGCATTTGTTTTAAAAGAGGGAAAAGACCTTATTTATTTGGGTTAGCTACAACATAAGTAGACTATATGGCCTATGAGAATTTGCCATTGTACTATTTTATGGCTGATGTGTTTTAATCAATAGGCTAATGAACCACAAACTACGATCGTTTTAAAAAAAGGGGAAATCCAAAGACCGTTTATTTATATGTGTTACAATGCGGGTAAAACATATTTTCCTTATTCATATTGTTAATAAAAGTTCAAAGTTTAATATAAGTAAATTTGTCATCGTACTGTTTTATTGTATAGCCTTTTGTATTATTATTAATAATAATAATGAGCCACAAACTAAGCATTCGTTTGAAGTAAGAGGAAAATCCAAAAACCTTTTTATTTATTTTTTACAACGTGGGTATTGTCATTGGCATTGATGATTCTGAACAGGTGTGTGCAATCAAAACTCAGGTGAAGGTGTACGCTGTGATTGGGTGGTGAGTGAACCTGGCCGATCCGTGACAGGTATGTCTTATTCGTTCTGTTAACAATAGTTTTATGTTTAATATAAGCTACTTTGTCATTGTAGTAGGCCTATTGCTGTGTGTGGGATTTTTTTTTTCATTAAGAGTAATGCTGAATCAACCTTAAGCATTAATTTTGTTCCAAGAATATGAAAGATCTAACGTTAAAAATCAAAATAAGCGCTGTAGAAGCGAGAATGCGAGATTGTTATTATTATTGGTTGCTGCTGAGGTAATATACGCTCTCGGTCTTTCTCGGTTATATCTTCGTGGGCCCCTATAATCGTCACCACCTTTCACCCCACTACGGCCCTGCCACCAGACCCACGAACACTGGCTGAGTAACAAAAATATGAACACCACAAGGGTTAAACATTTCTGGCCTCCTCCCTGCTTATCAGTAGGCTACTGCTGTTTCTTGAAAGCAGGCTTTAACTGATGCTATTTGACCAATTTTGCCTAAAGGATACTATGACTATTCCCTACCTTTTCCTGCTTTGCACTGCACTTTCGGCATTGGAATAGAGCAATGCTTGTGCATAAGCAATGTCTGTGTGGACTTTGAAGTGCAAAGTCACTTCTGGTGTTGAGACGAGCAGTTTAATACATTGCTGTGCTGTCATGACCCAAGAATAGCACAAAGTTACAGTAATGACAGCTGAATATATCACACCGTATCCTCTCTATCCAACACATAAGCTCCACCCTCCTGTCTTCTCCTCTTCTTTCAACACTTTGCCCTATTCCATTTCCCAAGCCTCTCTCCTCTTATCGGGTTCGATAACACACTCTCTCTCTCTTGTGTACCCCACTCGCACCCTGAGAAATGTGAAGCAGCTGTTTTGCTCCAGCTATCCCAGGAACGCCTGTTTGAAG